CTCTGACATCAGCCCCGCCCCGCGGCGGGAGGCGGCCGGAGCCCGAGCTTCAAAACAAGCCGAGCGCGGCCTCGTCCCCCCGGCTCCGCACCGCTCCTCGGGCCCCTGCAGCCCCCGTGAGTAGCCGCGGCGCGGGACGGGCGCGGGTTATGTCCACACGAGGGGGTGTCGGGTGCCGGACGGGGCGCGGGAAGGGAGCTGGGGAAAGCGCCGGGCTCTGCGGATTATGGCAAACGCACCGCTTGGTTTTGCTGAAGGGGCAGCCGGCCCCGGGGCTTCTCCTCGGGCTCCTGCTCCTGCGCCGCTTGAGGGGAAGGTGCTTTGGCGCTGGCGCGCGCGGCGCCGCTCTCCGCGCCCCGGCCGGGCGGGCGGACAGGGCCCGGGAAGCGCTTCCCGCTCCCGGCCGGACCCCGTCTCGCCACCGGGATCCGACGGACTACAGCCAGAAGAGCTACCCACGCCCCAAGACGCGGCTGAATCCTTGCCAAGCCCCGAGTGATGTTGAGGGCAAGAAGGGGTCAAGGAGAAGCGTCAGACCCACCTCAGTTCAAGCGTGCATAAAGCGATCAGCGCTTGTTTGGGTTTTTTTAAATTCCTGATTTTGAAATAATCTTTCTCTCTGTGATTTGTTCTGAAGTTGTTCGGACTGGAGTAGGACTTCAGGCCGGTTTTTAACTCCTGTAACCCCCCCTGGTGGAAGGACACCTATATAATTTAGTACAGATTTTTGGTTTACACCATCTGTGGGCGTTCAACTTTCCTCCTCTTGAACCGCTCAGCAGTTTTAAAAGGGCCCTTCAGCCTGCCGAGAGCCGCCTGCCGCTGCCTTTTTCGGATACGCTGCAGGACTTGCAAGGGTTTACTCGAGAGATGCAGACACAACACTTTCACTAACGCCACCTATATTTTACAGGCCTTCTCCATGTTTGGAGATACCCAGTAAGACTACTACACAGCCCTCTCTAATTCGGATGGCTGCCCCCTGCTAAAGACACTTTTCTCTTAGCACAGTCAGTAATAGATGATCGACAGAAACGGTTTAGTCACTGGGTTTGTTAAGAGCTCTTTCTCAAAACATATTCAATGTGCATCGCTTTAAAAACAGATGCATGTGAGTCTAAGTTTGAAGGAAGCTCCTACTGCATTTTGTAAGTCCTCAGTTATCCTGATTGCAGCCTAGGATCCCTGCATTGTCTTAGGTCGGTCGGTTTAGATACTGTTTAAGGATATAGTGGAATGGTCACAATCTTTTACTTACAAGCTCCACAGAAAGGGAAAGTAGCAGATTTTATTCACTTTCATGCACATCAAACCCCATTAGTCTGTCATGTACCAAGCAGGCCTGATCATCTTCCTAATGAAGTGCCTTTTAGTTTGCCATATGAAGTATTTATAATGCAACTTCAAGTCCAGTCTGATCTCAGTTTCTAGGTTCAGAGGTTTTCTGTCAGTTATTCTAGACCAGTGCTGAAGTTGAAAAAAGAAGGACGCTGTGGACTTGTATTTCTCATAACAGCCCCTCATCAGGGACATCTTCACAGACAGAATGTGGCATTAATCCGTGCAGTGTGGGGAGTGGTTTTGACTCTTACTCGGAAAGAAAAATGGGTTTAGTGGACCATATAGTCCTATCCCTAGGTTGGTTGTACAACTGCCTTTCAAAATACATTTGCATGGCAGCGTAAATGCCAAAATAAGGAGTGTAGCATGTACAGTGTTGGGATATTCCTCATCTATATCAAAAGAAACAAATAAAGTGCATACAAGATACATGTTAAAACCTCCAGAGCATTCACTATGATACATTTTATGCAAAGACTTGAGCTGTCACCAGGGTGGCACTTTGACTGGCGAACTGCTGATATGGTTGTATCATCATTTTCACTTTAATTTTTTAAGTTGGAGTGTAAATGCTATTGTGGATTCCAGATTGTTGAAGGGGAGGGTTCACTACTCATGGTGACCAATGGCATTTTTACAGATTTCTCTGTTAGCTGTGTGCTAAGTTGAGGTTGTTTCAGAAGAACCATGAACCAGCTTGCTAACTAGATAACCACAAAAAAGCCCAAGGTGAAACACGGGAGTGCAATGGATATACGTAGAGGATAATTAATTTTGAGGAAGAACACTGACTGATGATGGTATTTTTTTTTATTGGAAATGGCAAACTGTTCCTGACCTGCAGCCCCATAAAGCACTTGTTATAGGCAATTAAACAATTATACGTAGTGACTTAGGTCACTGTTGAAGGCAGTTGCACAGTGTTGGGAAACCAGAATTCTGCAGCTAAACTCTCAGTATACTTCACTCATTTTTTCCTTCAGTATTACTTACCGCAATGACTGAAAATTCTGTCTTTGGCTATATCAGCTTTTACTAAGTGCACCTTTTTAGTCCCCTTTCTCTGTCACTGTAGTACTATACTTAAAAGTATGACAATGCAGAGAATGTGGAGCTTTGCTATAGAATCATATGGATCTCAGAGAAAAAGGGGGAAAACTTAGGACACTGCATAAGGGAACTCCCACCCATGGATAACTTCTAATCTGCATGGCTTTGTTGGTGTTTTACTAATTTATGTGGTTTCAATAGTATGGTCTCAATCCTACTATATTACTTTTGTTGAAAGCTTGAATGTTTGGGGGGGGAGAGAGAGAGATGATTCATCAGAAAGTAAGTGTCTGCATTCTGAGAAAATAGTTCTTGTTGGCTGGGATTCAAGGGACAGTCTGATAGCACTCCTTCTAATGAATGCATTCAAGCTACTTCAGTGACTGGGAAAAACATGTCATTATGCCTCACAAATCTGCCTGTTGAGTTTCATGGGCTGGCTTACAAGCCAGGTGAGACCTCACATTTTGGGTGTGACATTAAAATACAGTCCTCTGGCAGAGTAGAGGTAGTGCTCGCAGAAATCTTCAGGGGAGGCTAATAGAACACTGACTAAATATTAAGCAGATGAGTCATATATAATATAAACATGTATGTAACTTTTAGGTGCATTTAACATACTGGGTTTTTGCACAGTAAAAGGTCACAGATGGTAAGCATCAACAGTCTTAAACTTTACCAGCTTTTCATACAAATACTCCCAGTCTACTTTAAGAAGATTGAAGGACATGAAAACATGGGACCTTGGCCCGATAGAGAAAGTAATCTTCCAGATGAAGACAGCCCCAATATACATAATTTTGGACTCATGTGCCTCTGCTGTTCTCAGTATTCGAACAAAAGAATGAGACAGTGGGTGCATTTACACATTCATTAATGCGCTGTAGTTAATTTAACCAAGTACTAAATCAACGCGCAGTAACTTGCACTACTGCTCAGTAGCACCAGTGCATGGCTTTTTAGTGATGCTTACTGTGCAGTAGCCTAATATTGCTGTGCAGTAGTGTATTAGCCCAGTTTTTGCCTGGCACACTACTGCACAGTGTTATTAGGTTGCTGTTCAGTTAGCATCTCATGTAGACGCAGACCCAGTCTCTCTGTACATCCATAAGTAGATTGTTAAAGAGGGAAAGGGACAATCTGGATTGAACATAAAATACAAGTGAAAGCCACAGCAACCTCTGGAGCAAAAGAGCCTAGAATGAGCCTAACTGAAGATCACCAGGTGGGCCTGCCCACTGCTTGTGACAACTCCCTTGGCATACATCTGAAGTGGATTTATGCGAGTCCAGGGAAGTTTATGCCCTAATACAATATTGGCCTTCATTTAACCAACACAATTAAAAAGTTGTCTTGGGGTGAGAGAATGTCATAAATTACTTTTAAAGTGTGTGTGTGTGTGTGTGTGTGTCTAACATACTGCATATGTAGCTATATTTGTTTAGGAAAACATGAGAATAGGGAAACATGGGTCTAGGAAAAAACATGGCTCTTTATTTAGGGTATGCAACCTTTTAACTAGGTACTTCCAAGACTGAAAATGCAATATATTGCAGCTCACATATGAGAAGGACTGCAAAAAAATCTTTGTGGAGAAGCTTGCAGGGTGCCTGGCAGCTGTAACAAGTAGGATTTATTTGAACTAGGAATTAAGTTTAGAGAGTCCTCTTTCAACACACTTCTCATATGGAAAAGTCCATTGGAATTCAGTGATTTTGAGATTCTATTGTGCTTTTCAGTTAACCTATAAACTCTTTTGTTCTATTAAAAAAATTATAACTTGTACCATCATGCCAGCATCAAAACAGCTTTACTGTAACAGATGTGGTAGAAAAAGCTGGAGCTGTTACAAATTGGAGAAAAAAAAGCTGGACACTTGCATCTTTTATGTGGTGTCAGAATCTTTCCTTAAGGGCTCTAAATCAAGATTCTCATGAATATTGAGTAATATTCAGTATGACAACAGGTGTAGGAAAACCACTAGGAGGCAAGTGGGAAACAGAAATACTGAATACCATTAAATGCAGAAGAGAGCTAATACCGATAACGCAACTAACCCACATGACATTGAGGCTAAGTCTGTACTGCCTCACTGCTGAGCATGGACCCATTGCTGAGACACAAGCTGCACTGTGTATGTGTCTAGCATAGCTTAGAGGGGGCCTGAGCATGCACCCCAGTTTCTCTAAAACAGAGAACCTGAGAGCAGCACTGGAGCATGCTAGTGACTGTTCTTGAACTGATAACAGGAGGGTCAGGTGTGGAACAGAGAAGAGCAGAAAGCTGATATCAGTATAGATCATTTCAATTTTATAACTATAGTTCAAAAGAAATTTAGAAGAAGGGGTGCTAAGTTAACAGGCCTTGTGTGTCCATCATACTGTAATGGAAAATTCAGTAATTGCAAATTGACATCTGGACTAAAGACTACCAGCAGATGGCTTCTGTCAACACAAGGAATTTAAAATGTAAGGTATTTACCCTTTATAAACCAAACCAAACCAAACCAAACCGAAAAAGCTAACAGGCTTGGCTGCAAGTATAATGGTCTTGCTCTACCCTGTTACAAACAAGGCATGGGGGTAAATTCAGCACTGGAGTGTGTAGGATGGAACAAAGTAGCCACAGTTAGTAATGGGTAAAGCAAAGTGCTGTCTGGACTATTCAATTTCCCATCTGGAGTCATGTGTGAAGCACAAGTGCCCCTTCTTCGGTGAAGTCACTG